CGTAAAGAAGGCCCCTATTTCTTTGCTTTTTCAATTGGATACCTAAGGTTTCTTTTATTTACAGTAACGGCCCAAAAGTTTCAAAATTACTTTCAATTTTTTTTTGTTTTTTTTGGAATTTGTTTTCTATATAAAAAAACTGAAAAGTCAATGAATCGGCGTGATTGTGATTCAGCGTCCATAGGCATTAGCTTTAAACAAATAGGAGATGGTTCGTGTTAGATCAGAGATTTCTTGGAGTGGAGGCTCCTTATGGTGTCCTGATTGCAAATTAGTATCCAATCACCTCATTACGGCTTCGTTGCAAATATCATCAACACATCATCTCTTCGTTTCCCGCAACGTTTCATTTTTTCAAACTAGTTAACTTCACTTCAACCATAGAGCATCATTCTCCAAGCACACGATGGTTTCATTACCAGATTCGACTTTAGGAAGGTTGAATTCTCATAGCATTTAGTATAACAGTTTCTACTAAACTATGGCGTTTGTTTCGCAAGTAAACATTTGACTGACTTTTTGAAGGTTTCGAAATCCCCAAGCCCTTCTTGTTCAGCAAATGGATTCTCCTATTTCTAAGCATACAGAAAACGAAATAAAAATACAAAACGGAAGCTGGAACACGAAGAACAAAGGAGGAGCAGTTTGATTACTCTTCTTACCATTACAAGTTTACAACAGTAGGAACTCTCATCTCAAACCTTAAAACATACAAGTATCTGAATCGGTGAATCTAAATCAAAACATATTAAGAAGCAGAAACTTTGGATGCACCAAGGCAAGTTTATGTGACTATCTTCAAGTTACAGAAACAAAAAAAAACTTGAGTATATATGCCTATAAATGGATTATGAAGCTCAAATGTAACAAAAGAATCAACTAATGTACAGTACTGGAGGGAAGAAAGAATGAAAAGGCTTAACCTTGAGAATTTGTTAGCCATTGTTCAATCTTGTTCAGACCCACCAATCAGGGACTTTCAACCTCCGGTTTCTATGTACAGAGAGCTTGACATTTGGGATCTTGTGTTTCACCTGTCTCCACAACATGTTTACAGCATCTTCTCTCTTGGGCGGGTACTGGAACTCAAAGTGATGTGATACGTTCTTCAGACGTTCCCACATTTGCAACCATTTCTCCTTTGAAAACTGTCGGAGGTTATTGAGGATGTAGTCCGGTTCAAGCGCCTCTTTTACAGAGAAGAAGAGTGAGAATTCTGAGTAGTCTATTTCGTCCTCAAAGGGCAGCTCGATTTTGTCGCTTATGATGACAGGAATGCAGTGACTAACAATGGCATCAAATAGGCGGCATGAAGATGGCGTGTCTCCAGCTGGATGCAAACAAAATTTTGATGATCTCATCCCTTCCGTAGACTTGTGACAGAAAAAAAAATACACAAGCAGAAGAATTAATATCATTGTGATTGGTTGAACATCAGATATCTTCCTCTATTCCTCTCAATCAGCTTACACAATGAAGAGCAGGAACTAACTGATACAAGTACCAAAAATAGAAACCTAAACACCTAATACTATTTATACCCATTGACAAACTGCTGATGTGGCATGGTTGATGAAATCCTATCACATTGGTCTTTCCAGAAATTTCAGAATTCTCAGATTTTTGTGCCCAAGACTGAAAATGCTGGGTTTCTCACATTTTGATGTGTTAGGATTTTAACTGTGGACTCTCTATCTATCATGATTACAAATCCATATGAAACGTTGCCCTAAGTGTAAATATTTTGATATGAGAGGTATAGTTATTATGGAGAAGAGCTTACCACTTTGATGTTTTGTGTGGTTGCTACACTTTTCTCAAAGTGAACATCAGAGTTACCAGCTAGTAACTTTTCCAACCGGAGACGAATTTTGCCTTCGTCTTTCCTGACTGTATTCCCACGGAAGTAAAGAAGTGTGGTGCGAGCCTCAAAAGGATCCGTAGT